AAAAAAAAAAACATTATTTTAAAACTGTACAGGGCATGGAAACTTAGATCCTTTTAGTCATCTCAGGTAGAGAAAAGATTGTTCTATCTGTAAAGTTTTCCAAAGAAAATTACATGGTCCTTTGTAACTTGTTCCCTGGCTCATCTGTTATCCACAGTAAGGAAATTCTTCACTGCACTGAAGACAAATCTACTATCCCACCCTTTAACCCTTTTCCTCTGCCTCTGTCCTAGGACAGCCAATCTAGTTGATCCCTATGCTGTTACAAATGATTTTATTTCTAACCCACGAAGACAACAGTGATCAAGTTCTGTGTGTGTATGTTGGGGGGGGGGGGGCCATGCACCTATATGTATGCATGTATACTCCAGAGGCTGACACTGGGTATTTTCCTCTGTTCTTCTCCACCTTATTTTGAGACAGTGTCTCACTGAACCTGGAGAGCTCACTGATTGGCTAGGCTAACTGACTGGTGAACCCCAGGGTACTCCTGTCTCAGCACTAGAATCATGGGCATGCACTGCCATGTCTGGCTATTTACATAGGTGTTGGGGACCCAAACTCAAGCCATCATGCTTGTACAGCAAGCATCTTACTGACTGAGTCATCTCCCTACCTTTGACCCAGTTCTTTAATAAACTTGTATAACCACAGCTCAAATACTTTTATTTGTTCTCCAAAAGTTTATTGTCTCCACTCATTTCCTCTGCTACACCCTCCCCAAAGTTTCCACATTCTCCTTGGTTCTGGGAGCCTCAGATACTGAGTTAAATATATGTCTGCTTTCATTCTCAAAGGAAAATTAGTTGACAGACACAAAAAACAAATTTAGCTTATAAAATTACTTTTATAAAGATACCAAGGCTGTATCAAAAGCATTTTTAGTCAATTTTTTAAATAAATAATTTATTGAGAATTTCATACATGCATATAAGGTGTCAAATCCATCCCCACTCCCTCCTCTCCAACTCCTCCCATATCTCCCCATCACTTTTTTCTGACAACCTTCATGTACTCTTTCTTTCTTTCTTTTTTTCTGATAAGTTCAAGTACTCTTTCATCTTCATTTTCTATGGGCCTTTTTTCTACTCTAACATTACTCCCTCTGAAGAGGTAACCCTAAAATCTTTTAAGGATTAGATAAAAGCTCCCAAATACTTTTGATATTTTTGACCTTTGGAACAGAGTATGTTGCTAAGAGGCCCAAGGACATTGTGAGTTTTAGCCAAGAAACTTGCTTCTTTTCTTTGGGGTCTATGATGGATTAGTATAGGATTTTTTCCCCCTGTGAAGGGGGCTAAGCACATATATATTACAGAATATGTTTTATAAAACCAGGATAGTGATAAAAAGGTTTCGAGGTGCTGGGGGAACAGAACCCATCTCCTCTCTCCATGACCCTTCCCTATACTCCATTCAACACTTTCCCAGAAAAGCAAAAGGCAGATATCAGCTCTAATTTCTTGGGAAATGACCAAAAACATAAAAAAGGAAGGAAAACTTTAAGTCATCCTTTTATTACAGAAATGACTTTATAATAGAAATTGATAATTAGCAACCTAGAAAAAAAGAGTTTCAGGTTTTCAAAGAAATATTATCGTGCCGACATGGTTAATTTCCTGGTTATGTCTAAGTGCTGTGGCATGCTCTGAAGTGATAGCTTCCCTGCTTTAGGCTGTATTTTCCTACAAAGTCACTGATGCACAGACCCACAGTGTTAACCCTGTGCATCAATATGGGCTGCTGAGGGGAGATGGAACCTACATATAGAAGTTTGCAGACAACACCGGCATAAAATAAGCAGAGCACAGAAGCCTGGTGGAATTCGAGCATCACGTGATTTCCTTTCTTCATCTGTCATCGTCTTCATTTGTCAGCACATTCCCTCATAAATGTATCGCAGTTAGTCACACAGCTTTCTTCTCTGATTCCTATTAAGTACTAGGGTGTGTTGACATTGTCTAGACAGAGGCAATTTTTTTTCCTTATGTTGGTGCAGAATTTGGCCAGTTATCTTCAGTTCAAGCACCATGTTTGATCAGATACTTTGGGGAGGATCTAAAGAATAATGATAGGACCTCTTTTACTAAACACTTTAATATCAAGAAGCAAAGAGTTTCACTCCACAAGAAAAAAGCGACTGGCACGTTAGTCTCACTGAAAACTTACAAAAAACTTAGTCACTATGGAAATAGCTTGAATATCCTAATGGAAAAAAAGTAAAGGTACAAAATTTTGTTTCAGATTATGAAAAGCGTCCAAATGCTAGGTAGTCACCAATGGCCCACTGTTCGCTTCTGGTTTCACTGCTTATAGGGCTAACAACTGGAAATGGGATCTCAGATGCCGTATGTCCAGCTTCGTGCAGAAACATTAATGAGGATCTCAGACAAGCACAATTTGCTCTAATAATCTTTCATAATAACTGGAAGTAAAAGGAACTGTAAACGCCTGTGCAATATCAGATATATACAATCACACTGCATCCCCAAGTGGAGACTAGTAAAGTCTAGATCCTCTCCAATGAACTCACATGGGAACCCTGTAACTATAACTTCTAATAGCCCCAGCAACCTTAGGTTATTTTCATGAACTATTATTTTACTCAATTGAAATCTATTAAATATCCACCATGTAATAGATACAGTACTAGAACTGGAGTTCAAGGATAAACAGTAGACAACACACTTCTAGAAGTTTTAGTTTTGTGGCATGGACAACAAGTCAGTAGGCAATAAAATACTGTGTCATAGGTAGTGAGGCAAGAATAAAGATTAGGTACAACGGGCAACATGAGAATGACACTTAACCAGCATTGGTGTATCAGGAAAGGCTTCCAGCCAGAAGGAGGCCCAAGAGGAGCCCTAAAGGCACAGTGTGCCATATTTAGATAGAGTTGAGCTATCCAAACAGGAAGTGGTGGTGGGAAGGGACAGGGACTAGAGGAGCTTTGCATTCAGAGAGAATGATACATTCAATAGTCAAAAGGTCTACAGAAGTCATCTTGGGCTTCTTTGCAATTGCACTAAGGCCATGAGCA